TTGAGGTGTCGAGTCCTTTTCTGGGGTTACTTCCCTTCTTCTTTTAATGCCACTAGGACCAGCTTCAGAGTCACTGGACTTCTTTTGCACAACATAACTGTCCATAGTGGCCTGTACCTCTTGTTCCTTTATGACTTCCCTAAAGTGTTTCACAACATTGTCAGTGTACAGGTTGCCAACACGGCTTGCAATAGCTGTGTGAGGGTGATTTTCATCCATGAAGGTTTGCACTTCAAGCCACTTTGCACAGATTTCCTTAATCTTTGTAGTAGGTAACTTCTTCAATTTCTCTCTCCCCTCCTCTGAACCAGTTTCCTCAGGTCTGGCCTCTTGCTGTTGAAGTTGATCTATCAGCTCATCAGTGGTTAGTTCTTCATTGTCCTCCTCCACCAACTCTTCCACATCCTCCCCACTAACCTCCAACCCCAAGGACTTTCCCAATGCCACAATGGATTCCTCAACTGGCATAATCCTCTCAGGGTTAGCCTCAAACCCTTCAAAATCCCTTTTGTCTACACATTCTGGCCACAGTTTCTTCTAAGCAGAGTTCAAGGTCTTCTTAGTCACTCCCTCCCAAGCCTTACCTATAAGGTTACACAATTGAGGATATTAAAGTGCTCTCTCCAAAACTCTCTTAGAGTCAGTTGAGTTTCTGAGGTCACTACAAAGCACCTTTCAAACAGAGCTTTTGTGTACAGTTTTTTGAAGTTTGCAATAACCTGCTGGTCCATGGGCTGCAGGAGAGGAGTGGTATTAGGAGGCAAAAACTTCACCTTAATGAATTTCATGTCCCCATAAAGTCGCTCTGCCACGTCTGTAGGATGACCAGGGGCATTGTCTAACACCAGGAGGCACTTAAGTTCTAATTTCTTTTCAGTTAGGTAATCTTTCACATTGGGGGCAAATGCATGGTGTAACCAGTCATAGAAAAAGTCCCTAGTGACCCATGCCTTACTGTTTGCCCTCCACAGCACACACAAATTCTCCTTGAGGACATTCTTTTGCCTGAACGGTCTGGGAGTTTCAGAGTGATACACTAATAAAGGCTTCACTTTGCAATCACCAGTAGCATTGGAACACATCAACAAAGTAAGCCTGTCTTTCATAGGCTTATGTCCTGGGAGTGCCTTTTCCTCCTGAGTAATGTAGGTCCTGCTTGGCATTTTCTTCCAAAACAGGCCTGTTTCATCACAATTAAACACTTGTTCAGGTTTCAGTCCTTCACTGTCTATGTACTCCTTGAATTCCTGCACATATTTTTCAGCTGCTTTGTGGTCCGAACTGGCAGCCTCACCATGCCTTATCACGCTATGTATGCCACTACGCTTCTTAAATCTCTCAAACCAACCTTTGCTGGCCTTAAATTCACTCACATCATCACTAGTTGCAGGCATTTTTTTAATTAAATCCTCATGCAACTTCCTAGCCTTTTCGCTTATGATCGCTTGAGAGACGCTATCTCCTGCTAGCTGTTTTTCATTTATCCACACCAATAAGAGTCTCTCAACATCTTCCATCACTTGCGATCTCTGTTTCGAAAACACAGTTAAACCTTTGGCAAGAACAGCTTTCTTGATTGCCTTTCTGTTGCCCACAATAGTAGCGATGGTTGATTTGGGTTTCTTGTACAACCTGGCCAGGTCGGCGACATGCACTCCACTTTCATACTTATCAATGATCTCTTTCTTCATCTCTATAGTAATTCTCACCCTTATTGCTGTAGGGTTGGCACTAGAAGCTTTCTTGGGGCCCATGGTCACTTATTTTGCAGATAAAATCACCAAAAACACTGTAATAATACAAAATGTTCCGATTGTATGCTTGGATGTTACCGCGGAGGCTGGCTGGTAAACAATGCCACCGGCGGCACATGTGAGGCTGGCTAAGGGCGCACATTAGACGCGTCTCGGACGAAGAGCGGTGAGCGGGTTTTTGAGCGGTATGTGAGGCAAAATTTTTGCGATAAAAGCAAGCGGTATGCGGATTGTACGTTATGTGATGCCGACGGTATGCGGGGGTCCACTGTATAGAGGTACAGTGGTCCCTCGCTTTTCATAGTTCTCGGCAGTCGTAAATTTCGCGAATCATAGGGGTATTTTCGTATAAACTTGGACTCGCTTTTCATAGGTTGACTCGCGAATAGTAGTTCGTCCGGGACGCGTACGCACAGTGTGAGCCGGGGCGGCCTCCCTACCCAGCCAATCTGGCATTGTTTACCAGTGAGTGAAGGTCCCCTCAAGTGCTCCTACGAAATATTTCATAATATTCCACTCATTTTAGTGCTTGCAATTACTAAATAAGCTACCATGGCTCCAAAGAAAGCTCCTAGTGCCAAGCCTGTGGTAAAGAAGGTGAGAAATATGTACAGTGACAAAGTCTTGGGCCATTTTAGGGAAGTGTTAAAGAGACGCCAGAAACAGCTCTCTCCACAGTTACTTTGTGAGACAGGACTAGAGTGACTCTCAAGGTGGTCCTAGTGGCATTAAGAAACAGAGAAGAGGAGCAACCCCAGAGAAGCAATTGGTACCTGAGGTGTTGCTGGAAGGGGATTCCCCTTCCAAACTGTAAACAATCCAATTTCTCTCCTCCTCCAGTCTCCCATACACTAAGAAGAATCTCCAATAAAGGTAAGTGTTATGCTGTTAATGTTTCATTCATCATTTCCCATTGTATTGTTTATGTACTATATGTATATTTCATGTAAAAAAATGTTTTGTTTTAAAACTTCTGGGTGTCAGGAACGGATTAATTGTATTTACATTATTTCTTATGGGGAAAATTGATTCGCAAATCGTAAATTTGGTTTATAGTAGCTCCTCCAGGAACGGATTAATTACGAAAAACAAGGGACCACTGTATTCCATTTACGGACTATTTTGCTGCAATAGCTACCCACCTTCACACCCGTTGGCAACAACGTTGGTCTACTCTGCTCGGTAACAAACTTCAATCTATTAAACCAAGTACATGTATAGGTTACTGGCCGTCTTCTTGTCACCAGTGTCGAGGTTGGGAGACTACTCTCTCCTGTCTTTGCATTGGCCATACTCGTCTTACTCATGGATATCTCATGGAGAGGCGCCCTGCTCCTCTCTGTGAGAACTGTCAGGTTCCATTATCAGTCAACTACATTCTGTTAGACTGCCCACTTTATCAACAAGGACGCAGAATTTACCTCCGTCGTCGTCTTCACTCTGCTGCTCTCTCTTTACCTTCCCTTCTCACTGATGGACCCACCTTTCATCCGGACTCTCTCATTGACTTTTTGACAACAACTGACTTACTTCACAAACTCTGATACCTTCAGCCCTTTCTACCTCAATCTCTTGCTACCCTCTACCCCCACACTATCCCCTGCCCCACTGTTTTCTGTAACCTACTGATCATCCCTCCCCCCTTCTGCCGCCCAGTACCCTTGCTTCCTTTCCTACCCTGCAGCACTGTATAGCCCTTGTGGCTATACATTATTATTATAATAATAATAATAATAATCTTGTTGGTATTTTATACCTTTCTAGCACAGCATCTGAGCTGCTTACAGTGTCAGTGATCACGAGAGTGCATTGTCATTTATCGTTATGAACAGGGGAGACATTTCTGTTCTGCCTAAGGGTGTTGTTGAGGAGTCTGCAGCGGCTGTAGTTGAAGCATTAAGTACAATACCGCCATCCCATCCAGTACTGCAGTTGAGCACCTATTCTCTATAGACAAAGATATCTTGAGGGCCAAGAGAGCCACCCTGTCAGATGGAAACTTTGAGAGGCTGAGGCTCATGAAGGGCAACCAGCATCACATCAAAGTGATGGAGAAGGCCCAGCCAGAGTAGTAATCAGCCCAGCCATAATCTGATCTTTGCATGATGCCCATGCTATGCATTTTGTACAGTAAATAAAGTATGTTGGATTTAAACTGATTTCATTTGTTCATTTAACTATTTGTGTGCACCTGTATGGCTGTATCGCTGGTGCAGTGATAAGTTGGCCTCAAGGTTTCTTAAATTAAAAGTAAAAGACCAAAAACTAAACCAAATCTGAATTCATGTGAAAAAGATGGCATTTAGAGTTAGCTTCAGCTAATTTTTTCTGCCGTTTAGCAGTTTAACGTTAGCGGAGCTAATTTTTTAGTTAGCGGATTAGCGGTTAGCGAAGCTAAATTTTCAGTTTGCTGTGCCCACCACTGCCAATGCCAACAAAGAATTAATTACAGTAAATGCTAACAACAATGTTTCTTGTGCATGGGCATACCATGTGCACTTTATTTCCACTCACCTAGTAATTGAGCTGGCTTATAGAGCTGCAAGTCCTAAGTGGGTAGAAGTAAAATGGGAGGCTAGGCATCGGCACTTACTGAATGAATCTGCTGGAAGTGGCAGACCTACATTTTTCGGGCCCTGATACTTGAAATGTTATGGGGGACCCCTTTTCATACAGTAGACCCAAAATTCTTAAGCAATGTAGATTAAAGTCACTTCTGGGGCCCCTTTGGGATTAGAAGCCCTGAAGCTTAGGTTTCATTAGTTTTGCAGTAGATCCACCCTTGTCTGCTGGTCATGCACTGCTCCTTGCAAATCATGTGACATGTTACGTGCTGTTACCGCAAACTTGCAATTTGCAAGTTTTATTTCATGGTTAACTTAGTGGATCTGACAGCTGCTTATATATAAACTTTATTTGATATTCATACTAACACATTTCTAACTGAAAAAAATGTGTTTAATTGTATTTTGATAATACCTGTGGTACCATTATTTTTTTATTACATTGTTTCAATTTTTATCGATTTTAAAACTCGACTAACTATTGAATACAGGTACTAGACTGTATCAGCAACATTTCCTGCTAGGCAGGCAAATAGGGAAAGAAAATGTAGACACGCGCCCATGTTTTAACCTTGCCCAGAATTTTAATGACTCATTTGTAAGTGAAATATTCTGATTAGTGAAAAGTAATGTCATGTAAGTCCATTTTGATGTGGTTCAAAGTAAAAAAAAAAACAGGTGCTTCAGTTTCAGATTTTATTCCAGTTTTTCAGAGGACAATAACAGTAACTTAAAAAAAATTATTTTTTAGAAAAATGTATTATCCTGCTCCATGTTAACACCAAACTTTATTTTGCTAGCTGTTCAGTGACATGTGCATAGATCCACTCCAGAAAGTAAGACACCTCCGTGTAGACACCAGGGAGGCCAGGTTCGGCACAGCCATAACTCCAGGATACAATTCCTGCCAGAGATGCCCCACAGGCTAAGGGGCCGCCTGAATCACCATTACAGGTTCCTTTACCACCTTCCTCAAATCTAAACATGAAAAATATAGTGTAAGTGTACCATAGAAACTGTCAGTGAAATCTAACATCATACATTTTAGGCTTGAAAATACGTACAAGTGATTATGCAGGGAACTTTATTTGACATCTTCTTTCTTTCAATACACTGGCCGTATCCCACCAAGGCAGGGTGGCCCAAAAAGAAAAACAAAAGTCTCTTTTAAATTTAGTAATTTATATGGAAGAAGGGGTTACAAGCCCCTTGCTCCCGGCATTTTAGTCACCTCTTACAACACGCATGGCTTACGGAGGAAGAATTCTGTTCCACTTCCCCATGGAGATAAGAGGAAATAAACAAGAACAAGAACTAGAAAGAAAATAGAAGAATACCCAGAGGGGTGTGTATATATATGCTTGAACATGTATGTGTAGTGTGACCTAAGTGTAAGTAGAAGTAGCAAGACATACTTGAAATCTCGCATGTTTATGAGACAGACAAAAGACGCCAGCAATCCTACCATCATGTAAAACAATTACAGGTTTTAGTTTATTTGACATGTATTAAAATAAAAGCTCTATCAAATTTCAAGAACTGTATAGAAACAAATGTGAATACATAAAATATAGGTAATAATGTGAATACATTAAAAATAGGCAAAACTTGCGATTTGGGCTTAAATAGCAATGCTCTTCTTGCCGAATAAGGCAAGCAAAAATTTGTGTATGCAATAATTTTGCAAAAATCATTCTGAACCTAACGAACAAAATATATTTCATTTTGTTTGTTTATTATTAAATTATTACAAACTTTTCTAAAATATATTTAGTTGGATTATGATAAAATAAATTGCATTTGTTAAAATAAGGTGAGGTAAGTTTTCTAAGGTTCTTTTGGTGGAAAATTATTCATTTTTACATTAACATAAGTGAAAAAAATACATCATTAAATGCATAAGAGAAAATTTTAGAAAGGACTTAATTTTAAATGAGTTCTTGCTAATTGACAGACATTTCCGTGTTCGGGTTAATAATGTGCTCTCCCCGGACTTTATCCATGCTGAAGGTGTCCCCCAGGGATGTGTTTTGAGCACAACACTTTTTCTCCTTGCTATAAATGATTTGGCCTCTAGTCTTCCATCCAATATTTGGTCATCACTCTATGTTAATGACTTCACTATTACATGTGCAGGCGCTGACTGTCACCTCATTACAGTTTCTCTCCAACATGCGGTCGACCGTGTTTCCAATTGGGCCACCACACGGGTTTAAATTTTCCAGTTCCAAAACTCATCAAATTACTTTCACTAGACGCTCTGTCATATCCGATCATCCTTTGTACCTCTATGGCTCCCGTATCCCTGAACGTGATACAGTCAGGTTTCTAGGCCTCCTCTTTGACCATAGGTTATCCTGGAAACCTCACATTACCTCTCTGAAGGCAACTTGTCACAGCCGGCTGAACCTTCTTAAAACCCTTGCTCATCTTTCATGGGGAGCCGATCATCGAACTCTCCTTCGCCTACATTCCGCCCTCATTTTATCGAAACTTGATTATGGTGACCAGATCTATTCAGCGGCCTCTCCTGCTATTCTCTCTAGCCTTAACCCCATTCATCACCAAGGATTACGTTTATGCCTTGGTGCTTTTCGCTCTTCCCCTGTCGAGAGCCTCTATGCAGAAGCAAACATTCCATCCTTATCCGATCGCCGAGATGCCCATTGCCTTCGCTACTATGTACGCTCTCATGATCTCCGCAATCCTTCCATTTATAGAATGGTCACCAATATTTATTTATTTATTTATTTATGTTATTTATTAACAATTTGAGCACACATACAGAGGTACAAAAAATACAGATAAGAGCAGCATATTAGTAGACAGCATTTGTTTGCCGCCCCTGTTTGCTCCATCCCTTCTCCCTTCGCCTACAGTCACTCTTGTCTTCTCTTCAATTACCACCTCTCTATGGTTCATGGTAGCATCTCCTTTTCCCTCACCACCCGCCCCTGGGAAGTTTCCAGCTGTTTGAGTCCTGTTCTTTCTCACTCCCTTGTCGAAAGCCCCTACTGTCTGGGAAGCTTCCCAGCTCTGTCTTGTGTTCTTGACTACTTCACTCTCATTCTCATGCCATTTGCAGTGTACACAGATGTCCCTCTAAGTCTTCTGATGGCTTAGGAATTCACACAGTGTTTTACGGACAGCGACGTACTAGGGCTATTGTACTATCATTCGGCTAGTATCTTTAACTGCGAATTGTTGCCATTCTTGCAGCACTTATTCCGTATTAGCATCTATGCCTATGTCATCATCTGTGGTTGTCTCAGCCTCCCCTTAGTGCTTTTACAGCTATACAGAAATTTGATACACCTCACCCCAGTAGTCCCCTATGCCAACTTTGGCTATCGCCCGCATCTCTTCCAAGCATAAAGATATTGTTTTTTGTTGGGGCCCTGGTCATGTGAACGTACGGGCAATGAACAGGCAGACACTGCTGCGCGGTCAGGCAGTACATGACCATAGCAGTTTCCTATAGAGGTGTTTCCATTTATGGACCTATTTTTGCTGCAATTAGACTACCCACCTTCACACCCTTGGCAGCAACGTTGGTCACCTCTGCTCGTAACAAACTTCAATCTATTAAACCCAAGTATAGGTTACTGGCCGTCTTCTACCACCAGTGTCGAGGTTGGGAGACTACTTTCTCCCATTTCGATTGTGGCCATACTCGACTACTCATGGTTATCTCATGTAGAGGGGCGCCCGTCCCTCTTTGTGAGAATTGTCAGGTTACATTATCATTAGCCACAATCTATTAGACTGCCCCACATTTAGTATTACGAGCCCACTCAGAATATACCTTAAAACGTGGTCTTTCCTTTACCTTCCCTTCCCGCAGCTGATGACCCACCTTTCAGCCGGACTCTCTCTTGACGTTTTGACAACAACTGGACTTCACAAACTCTGACGATAACGTTCAGCTCTTTCTAATCTCAATCTCTTGCTTTGGCCCATCTACCCCCGCACTATCACCCTGCCCCACTGTTTTCGGTAACCTACTGATCATTCCTCCCCCCTTTCCTACTACCGCCACAATACCCTCGAGCGTTCTTCCTACCCTGTAGCGCTGTATAGCCCTTGTGGCTTAGCGCTTCTTTTGATTATAATTAATAATCATGGAGCATGGAGAGGAGGACCCAGAGCGGTCAGTGACAAGGTGGGGCCAGGATGAGGATCGACCCCTGCAACCACAATTCATGGTACACACACACAACACACCATACATCAACACCACTGCAACTCCACCATATCACACTCATACACTGCAATCACACGATCCATCCTAACGCACCTACTTTTAAACACTTAATAAACCACATATAGTTACACACACAACACACAGCACACACACACATGCACACACCCACACACATCACACACACAAACACACAACACACAACACACAAACACAAACACACACACACAAATACTCACACAAACACACATCACAACACACACACACACACACACACACACACAGGCACCACACACACACACACTCTACTCACACAGCACACGACCCAACCACAGGGGAGATCGACTGGGAAAACCTGGAACCACATGGGGTCCGAAACATGGAGATCCAAGATGATGGGATGTGGTACTTGAAACCCTCATGCATCACATGTCAGGGATCACAACCAGAGAGAGAGGGTAGGATGAGTCCAGCAAGACTGGATCATGTGTTCACCCTGAGACAGTTCAGACTATTGAGGACATCACTTACGAGAGGCCCTTGGAGCTAGCGATCAACTGGTGGTTTTAAGTTTTGATTATATAGTGAGTTTTAACAAGGTCTGGGAGAGAAGGTAACAGGAACTGAAGGGGACAGGCCAAACTATAAAAGGGGGGAACTACACAGGTATGTAGAAACTTCCTGCAGGAGGTCAGAGGGACAGAGAAATCGTAGGAAAAATCAGTAAGAAGGAGATGAATGGAAATATGGTCAACCAAGTGCAAGGAGGCAAACGGAAAGGTTTGTTCCCAAGGGAAACCTCTCAAGGGGGCTCCTATGGCGTGGTGAACGAGGCTCTTGTCCTGAGGAATTAGACCTGTTCGGCTCTACTTTCCTCAGACCGATCCAATTACCCCTACTATCCCCCGTTCCCTATCCCATCCCCCCATCCTCTCCTTTTTTTTTTCCTTTCCTCCTCCTCCCCACCCCTCCCTTTTGCCCTTTCTTTTTGGCCTTTGGTTTTTTTTTTTTTTCCCACAAGCACCTAGTTTCCTAGTAGGGGAAAGGTAACGGGGTCCACTCCCATTCCATTGAGGTTCATTGGGGTGTCGTAGTATTGCCCTGGAATCTGGATTTGCCTGGGGATTGTCCCTGATCCCTCTCCGGTATCCGGAGGGTGGCTTGAGGTTCTCTCGGCGACGGGTGTATCTCTGGAAGCCAACCTTTCGGAATTCTCCGGGGTGTGGCCGAAGGAGGTATTCTTTTGTGGCAGATTTCTGCCCGCCCTCGTCTTTTGACCACCGAGGTAGCTCGCAGTATGTGGAGGTTGCTTATCCGCGTAATGTGATGCCCGGTTTTAAACTGGCGATGCACTGGGTAGCTGGTAGTGTGGCACGGGATTTTCCAAGCTGCATCTGCCGCTACACTGTGGTGTCTGAGGTCCGTCTTATGGGGCGTCGGAGGAGATTTCTGGCCCTTTCATTCCTCCTAGGAAACTATCCCTCCCCCGGTCCCACCCTTTTTTTATTCTTTTTGGGGTGGGGGGTGTTTCTATTCTCTTTCTTTTTTTTTCTTAAAAACAAAATGAAAGTAAGTAACCTAACCATGGAACCCTAGTCCCATGAACCTGCTTCCCCCGGGCTCCTACTTGATACCTGCACACCCGAGTCTGACCCCACCCCTCGTCTTTGGACCACTCTTCGGACACTCCGCATGCCTCTTAACCATCTGCCGGTGCTGTTTTCCTCACCCGCTTCAGGAGGTACTGAGGCCTCGACTGATGACTCCTTCGATTTAT